AGCCCACCATCCCATACAGGAATTGAACCGACAGCATTGTTGTTCAGAGCACGAGCTCTAACCAACTGAGCCACCTGGCCACCCCCAATAGGACTTCTTTTCATTTCTTATCTTGCTCTTTCTATGTCAGATGTGTGGTCTGTTTTTCCTTCACTGCCTTTCTCTAGGGAGATAGGTGCTATCTGTACTCCAGACTGAAGAACCTGGCAGCCCTCGAGCCCCACCCAGCTGCCGGGCCCCCAGAGGGAAAGCTCAATACAAAGCACCTGGCAGATGACCATCCTAAACTTGCAGCATGGTGGACCTTCCCAGCTTATAATGAGCCTCCCAGAAAGAAGTCCTGAATATGTGTAGAATCAAAGGACTATTTTATTTGCAGACAGATACATCAAAACATCTTGGTGTATCATCAGAACCATTAGATGGCTAAGCTTGATGTACAGAAGCAGTGGACATCAGCTCTTCCTCCTGAATCCCCAAATGAGTAAGGAACTAAATCCTATGGTCGATAGGTTCTAGGCAGCATTTATATGAACTGCATCTTCTCTGCTAGAGCTCAGGGGCTTTGGGTTTCCGAACAAGAGTTCAGGCTTGAGTCTGTTGAGAGAGGAATCGTTCCACACAGTGAAGAGGGGAGGGGCATCAAAGAGAGAATGAGTAAGTACGCCACACACATACAAGAGCTGTGGACTCAGCAGTAATTTCCCTGACACTTCATTACTCCCCAGTGAGTGGGTGTTGTATGTGCGTGTAAGAGGTGTGTATACAACAGAGAATGTGGGTCAGGAATAAGACCTATTGTTCCATAGTAGCTGTGTTCAGGGTAGGAGAGAGGGGAAAAAAAACAAACAAACTAGGGAAGTGAAAATGTATCTCTACTAAACAACAACAAAACAAAACAAAACAAAAAAAGAAAAGAAAAAAAATCAACAGCCTCCAAGCCACAGGGCATTTGCAAAATGTCACAACTGGACTCCAGTGGACATAGTACCACATCTGGAGTCTATAACACCCCAGACTGAATCCCACTTCTGCTTCCTAGTATCAGAAGCATCACTTAACCATTTACAATGTACAAAATTATAAACTTTCCAAATTGGGATAATTATAAACACTTCACAGGATTATGGTAAGGGTCAGGAGAAATAATGGAATGAAAGATTTGAGCACTGGGCATGTCACACAAGAAGTGATCAATAAATAAACATTTGGGGAGATAGATGTTCCTCGATTGTCGCGTGCATATCACTATAATTGTCATATGTTTACCTGTTTACCTGTGGCTTTTTCTCCCTAGTGCCATGACTATAAACACCCTGAGGGCAAGGACTGGATTGCTTCGCTTTTGTATCCAGCACAAAGGCTTTCAATAAAGCTTTGTCAAAGGAGTGAATCATTTTAAAGAGCAAAACCAACCAACTCAGATTTACCTCTGTCTGTAATCCCACACATCCTCAAAGGAGTAACATAAACAAGAGGTTAGGAAACAGAGAAGGGGCAGAACATTTCTGGATCATCAACACCAGAACTGTGGCCCCCAGATCACCCAGATGGGACCAGTGGCCATACAGAGGGAACAGAATGGCCAAGGCCAGTTTCTCCCACAAGGAACCATCAAGGCCGCCATAGGGAGCTCTGGCCAAACCACCTTGGCATCATGAACCATGATGTCTAGGTTTTTCTTCTTTCTCCTCTTGAACATTTCAAGGGAGATGTAAAAGATGGACTCTGAAGGCAGTGCCTCTACATTGCGGACTCCATCTGCAGCAGTTTTTAAGATCTGCAATATTTTGAACTTTTATTTAAATGGAATCATATTTTTATGCCTGGCTTCCATTGCGCAACATCATTTTTAAAATAGATTTCATATTTTTAGAGCAGTTTTAGGATCACATCAAAAAGGAGCAGAAGGCACAGAGGTTTCCCCTACACTCCCTGCTCCCACATACACAACCTCCCCCACTATCAAAATCCTGCAGAGTGGTACATTGGTGACAGTCAACAAACCTACACTGACACAGCATTACCACTCCGCCAGCAGTCCTGCCTTCTCTTTCAGGCTCTTGCAGAAGCGAACTAACGCAGGTCCATATGAACCAGCCCCACACTGACCCTAGGCAACTGACAGGACAGGGAACTTGAGGCATTTTACATGAAATAAAATGCCCTCCTGGAAAAGGGAAGATTCAGTTTTCAAGATCCCCACGATGACAGAGAGGGCAGGGAAAAGCATTGTGGAAAGATCTGCCAATAATAATAATAACAGCAGCAACGATAGTACAAGTTTCTTTTCATTGAACACGTATACCTCCTCCCACCCTGGCAGAGGACTGCTCCTAGGTACCAAGAAGATGTGAAAAATATTTGTTGAGTTAAGCAATGAAGGGATGACTGTCCAGCTGGGAAAGTCCAGCCATGACTCTATCTGACAGTGGACATTAATTAACAACGTTTGAGGATGCCTGGCACAGTGTCTGGGACCTAAGAGGTATTCTGGGGACACTGACGAGCATTAAAGGGCATGGGCTCTGCAGCCAGACCACGACCTGGACTCTACCCTGGATTGGCCATGTAATGGCTAGATAGCATCGGACATACTATTATCCTCCCTAAGCCTGTTTCTTCATCCATAAAATAGGGATTAAAATATGACCTATTCCCGAGGGATGCTGTGAAGAATAAATAAAAGAATGCATGTCTAGAACATGGTAAGCTGTCAGGAAATGCTACGTGCTATTATGATTATTTACTAAATTAAAAGGTAAAAGGGCGTGTATCTCAGGGGCGGGTGTGAAGGAATGAGCAGGAAGAGGGGACGATCGGGAAATAGGGAAGAATGCGTGTGGCAAACAGAGGAGTGTGCCAGGAAGTGCTCTTTGAGTTCCGCTTCCTGTCCTGGTCTAAGACAATCCCCCAAGGCCATAGAAAGCTTTCTTCTAATATGAGGCTCTCAGCTAACCCCTTCATGGTCCTCTCTCCACCAACCAGACTCCTCAGTACTTACATATTTCCAGCCCAGAGTGGTCTTGCAGTTTTCACAGTAAATGTCTGCGACTGCATGCAGTCCTGTTAGCAACACTCGCTCTTCTGCAGGTCCGCAGCCCACATTAACTCTATGCCAAGGGACAGAGAGAGAGAGAGAGAGAGAGAGAGAGAAGTTAGTCACATGTTCATCATCAGTTGTTCAAGCTGAGCTTCCAGCAAAAAATTAACCGAGCACGGCTGCCTCAAGGGAAGCCAACACCGAGGAGGGCATCATCTATAACTGAAATCAACAACAACCCCCAAAAGGTAGAAAATCTCTGTTGAAGTGAATTTCGGGTCTGATTCAATGAGTCTACTAAAAATAGTTGTTATGGTTGAGACTCTGGTTGGAATTTTTCTAAAAAATGCTTTTAAGCTTGTGATTTAAGGGGACAAACTGTCACCACACTGTGGAGTCCAAAGCCATGGGCACAGGTCCTCAGAGCTGACTGAGGACTTAGTGTGGCTGGAGATGTCAAACATGGTGGCCCAGCCTGGTCCTGATCACAAGGCTGAGTGAGCCCTGGGAATCAAATACACTACTCTTTTCCACAGAGCAGGCATTGTCTCAAGCCAAACATGCCAGTTTTTATTGTCACAGGTCATCAGGCTTGAGTGAGCTTCACCTTCCTTACCCTGGGATGTGCCCAGGTACCAACTGAGGGCTGTGGTAGATTGTGCGTTTGCAGGAGATGAAGACTCTTCCCCAACTGGGCCTGCCCTCCAGCCTTAGATCCTTCAGCAGATGTTGTTGTCTTCTGTTCACTCGCTTTCTCCATCCCACACACCTGGTTAGAAGACCTCATGTTGAGGCTCTCAGAAGCTCTTCAGCTTCTTCCCTATGAGACCACATCCCTCTGATGGACCTACTGGGAGTAGTGGATTTATTATATTGAGTCAAAGATGCTTCCAAAAAATTCCCCAAAGACAACTGGCTGCCATTTGTGCAGAGTAATGCTCCACAGATTTTTTTATTATTATTTTTTATTGTGGCACAGAGGACAGGGTCCATTGTTTAATTATCATTGAGTGTTGTGTTTTTCCCCCACCCCTCAATATTTGCACCAAACAGTGGATGTACTATTCAGGGACACTCACACTGAGTTAAAGAGGTATGCTCGTCCTTGACTTCCTTGGAACGACTGAAATGCAAGAAAACAAATCGATAGTTAAAATGTCCATTTCACCCATCCATCTGGGAAACCAGCCCCAAATCACAACAATCATGACCTTCCAGGACTGACACAACAAAAAGGAAGCAGTAAGCCAGTTAATAGTCCAGCTGGCAGATGGCATGGCAAGAGAAGAAGAAGGCAGAATAAACAGAGCTACAGCGTGCGGGCCAGCCCACACTTGGGACTGTTTTCACCAGCCCAGGTGAGAAGATGTGAAAAGCCCAAACTCCACAGTATCATTAAAAACTTCCCTCCTCACATGGTCTGAATCCACCTGAGTTAATTAATCCACATTGGCCTTTCCTAGACCCACTGGACTTCAGCCATCTGCACTGGCCACAGCTTTCCTTGAGTTGGTCTTGGGTATGGAAACCACTGGCAGCACCTGAGCTTGCCCTGCAGGGTCCAACCCCGCAGAAGACAGCCTAGAATCCCTGAGGTAAGAATAAACCACCAAACCCACCTTCTCACTCATCTTGCCTTCTTGTAGATCCTAACTGCCATGACAGTTACAACCCTCGTACATGGGATCTTTCCTTTGGAGGTGTAAGCAACTTGATCTCTAGATCACAGGAATGCTCATTAAGCAGCAATCCCATTTTAACTTCGAGCTTAAATATGAGCTTCTTTCTTCCGGCTGGAGGGTGGCAGGGGAGAGGAGAAACAGGAGCCAGCGCTTGCCATGCAATTTGGCATCTACTTTCATTAACACAGCCCCTATCCGTGTTTCCCTCCTCTGGTTACACTGAAATGTCTGGCTGACATGAACCAGCCGTGTTCTGCATCGCTGCCTGCATTTTTAATGTGATCTGACCATTGTACCCTGAATTAAAAATCCTAGTCTGCTCTGAAAACCACTCCAAAAAAACAAACAAACAAATAAAGGGCTCTCCCATGACCTCTGTTATTCAGTAGCTGGAGAAATCCAGGGGGTGACTGGTTAACAGATGACCAGACGGTAGGAGAGAACCAGACAGGACACAGATCACTGCACACAAGACAGTCATTGTCAGAAGCACAGGACTTGAGGGATCAGTGTCGCCAGCCTGAGAGAAAATTCTTGACTTGTGGAAAAACTGCCTTTGGACAGCTAGAATGTTGGCTGCCTCTAACATACAAATGTATCAAAAGCCTTCGCTCCCAGTGTAGCTCCAGATGTTCCCCAGCAACTGCTGCTCAATCCTAAACCAGTGCTCTCTCTTTCCCTGTGGGTCTTGAAACATCCCTGGGGAACATGGGAGCGCCCAGGCTAAGACTGAGCACGAATGTGTGTCAGGGCCTCAAAACTTGGGACCCGTAAGTCCATGCCAAGTGTTTGAATGAGACAATGTCCCAGAGATGCAGACCATTGATCTGGCCAAACTGACAGCTCAATCTGGGAGCACGGAGACACCCAAGCACTGCCAGTGCAGCAGAAGCTTCGCCATCCGGCCCCAGCAACCTCTGCAATCTCTCCTCTTGCTACTTTCCCACTGTGTCCTTTGCTCTAGTCAGGCCAAACCACATGCAGTTCCTGCATTTCACCAACTTTGCCCACTATGTTCCCTCAGATGGGGAGGCTCTTTCATCTGACCAATCCTAAGTCTCGGCTCAGCTTCGTCTCCTGCGCAAGGCTGTCCCTGACCTCCCCAGGAAGAGGCACCCGGTGGCATCCAGGTTCTGGACTCCTCTCATTCTGTTTGTTTGGTTTTTTTGCCAATTTGATTTTAAGTTAGAATTTTGACCAGTTGACTTACAAGTCCCCTTCCAGCTCCAAAGTTATATTGTCTTATGATTCCATGGCCCTACATTACAGCTAATTGGAAGTGTCATCCTCTAAGACATTTTTATCAAGACCTTTACATTTAGAGCTTAGAAGAAGGTGGCTAGGGAAAAACAAATTCTAGAAGAAAGCAGACAGGAAAATGACAACACAAAGCATCCTAGCTTCACCATTTATGACAGTAAAAGTCATTTATTTCTCAAATACTCACAGGTCATCTATTATCTGCTAGGTACAACTGCGAATGCAGGGAGAGAGGCAGCACTGTAAGACTTTTCAGGGCAGTGGTGTCCCCAGAAGGTAAACAAGACAATCCTCCAGGGTAGGAAAAAAATACTAGAAATTTTATCTAACAGTTATAATATATGGATGGCCACTGGGATCTTCCCTGGGCTAGTCTGTGTCATGTGTGTACAGGTTTCTAGAAGGAAGTATGGAGCCCTCACCGTGTGTGTGTGTGTGTGTGTGTGTGTGTGAGAGAGAGAGAGAGAGAGAGAGAGAGAGAGAGAGAGAGAGAGAGAGAGAGAGAGAGAAGTGGGGGTACCCTTCTGCCTTTGCTTTCAGCTTATCATGAATCCTGTTGTTTCTATGCTATAGGATGTCAATAATGAGACTAGTCTTATAAAAAGAGAATCTTTAAACAGTAGGATCCTTGTAACTGTTTGTAAAGGGACAAAGTACCACAAAGAGGTTCACTTACATCAAAGTACTTAAAGATGGAAAGATAAGTTATGCATTTTTCTTTTGCAAAAAGATGAGCAATCCCAAGCAGGCCTTTGTGGTAAAAAGTAGCTGACAGGGCCAGCCGAGTTGGTTAAGAGCTCGCTCAAGAGTGAGAGCTCTAAGCAACAGGGTCACCGGTTCGATTCCCAGCCTGAGCTGAGCTGCCGCTGAGCTGCCAACAGGTGGCAGGGTGGCCAAGCTAAAAAAAAAAAAAAGATATGCCTGTACCAAAATTTAAAAATTACAGAAAAATGACATTTAGAAGAAAACACAGGAGAAAATCCTTGTGACCTTATATTAGAAAAGATTCCTTAAAAACACTAATTCAAAAAAAATATATGTACCCCTATGTTTACTGCAGCACTATTCACAATAACCAAGATGTGGAAACAACCGAAATGCCCATCAATAGACGATTGGATAAAGAAATAGTGGTACATTTATACAATGGAGTATTACTCTGCCATAAAAAAAGAATGAAATCTTACCATTTGCAATGATATGGATGGATCTAGAAAGTATTATGCTAAGTGAAATAAGTCAGACTGAGAAAGTCAAATACCATATGATCTCGCTTATATGTAGAATCTAAAGAACAGAATAAATGAGCAAACAAAACAGAAACAGACTTAGACATACAGAGAAAAAACTGACGGTTGCTAGACAGGCCAGAGGTTGGGGGATGGAGGAGGAAAAAAAAAAAGATTTCTTAGACACAGGCCCATGAAAAGATGCTCAATATTGCTAGTCATTAGGGCAAATGCAAATTGAAAACACAATAAGATAACACCACACATCTATTAGAATGGTTAATTTTTGTTTTTTAACTGACAAAACTAAATGTTGTCAACAATGTATGGCAACTGGAACTTTCCTACATTACAAAACAGCACAGCCACTTTGGATAAGAGTTTGGCGGTTTCATTTTGCCAAGGGAAATGAAAAAAAAAAATCTATGTTTACACAAAACCTGTATGAGAATGTTTTTAGCAGCTTTATTCATAATTGTCCCAAACTGGAAACAACCTAAATGTTTCTCAATTGGTGACTGGATAAACAAACTGTACATCCATATAGTAGCACTCTATAATAAAAAGGAACCAACTATCAGTACACATAACATGGATAAACCTGAATGAAATGCATTAGGCTAAGAAGATACATGGTTACCAAAGGTTAAGGGTGTGGGGAGAATTTGACCACAAAAGGATAAAGGGGGCAATGGAACTGTCCTGTTATCTTGATTGAGGGGGTGATGATAAGACGAGGTATTTGTTAAAACTCATAGGACTGTATACCAAAGGGTGAATTTTACTGTGTAAGATTAGAAATCACTTTTTTAAAACTCCAATAAAATTTTTTAAATAAGCCATCTCTAAAATTTCCTATGTCTGTACACTGTACCCCTATCTTCGTACAATTAGGAATTGTAAATAATTTCCTAATCTATTTAGAAGAATTCCAAGCAAAGAGTTTCAGGGGGATTTGAAGCCTTGGTAAAAACCACTTTTCTGAAAAATGTGCAAGAGCAACTGCAAAGTTCAGCAAAAATCTTTGTGTAATTGGAAGAAGGGGTGAAAAATGGGGAGTCATGATTTTTGTAAACACAGAGATGCTCACGTTCCATCTCAACCTAACCTTTCTTTGTAAGAAGTTTCTTCTTATCTATGTTTATAATGTACATATTACGTAGCAGTACACGTATACCATTTATGAGTATGCGTATATTAGGAGTATATGCTCAAACATTTTACCGATAGGAATGCATGATTTTGAAAGTTTGGAGGCCCCTGCTGTGGGGGTTCCAGGGTAGGGCCTAAGAGTAATTTTCTCTCGCCAGACGGATTAGAATTCCTAGAGAGTGAGGGTAGGGGAGGACGCACGGCAGAGAGGAGAAACGCCAGCCAGGCCCAGAGGCGCCTCCCAGGGCCACCACGGTTCTTCCAGGCCTGTTCTACGAGAGTGTGCTGGCAGAGGCCCACCACACACTGCAAAGGCTGCCGAACCCAAGCGAGGCTGTCTTAGTGGCAGTATCTATGCACGTACCCCTGAGCAAGTGTCTGTGAACCTATTTCCTCAGCCTGGCACTCAGGAGCAGCTGAATTTCCTGGGGCAGGACTCTGGAAGCTCTTCCCCCATGGCTTCCACACTGGGCCCCTGCCAAGTCAACAGTTATGATGGGAAAAACAGCGACTGAGAACAACAGGCATCTTGCAAATAGACACAGACAAGAATAGCCCCGGCTGGGTCACTGTATCCTGTGGGGCCCAGCCCAGCCTGGCACCACCAGGCACAGCCTGACTCCCTTGAGTGAGGGTGGTACCAAAGGTGGAGAGATTGAAAGGAGGTTAAGGAACCCAGTAGAAGGAAGCGAACAGAATCTCAGACCAGGAGATCCCAAACAGACTGTCAGACACATTTGTTTGCTGTCATTACTGCCAGGCAACAAGGCAGCCCTTTTCCGTGTTATGTATTAACCAAGGCTGGAGTTCAGGGCTCCAGGAAAGGGTTTTTGTTATTTTTTAAATTACACAAAACTTTTCTGCTGTCCTTTAAAGGAAAGTAATCATTTCAGGCCCAGCCCTTCCAGCCAGCTCAAAGGAACGGAAAGGGCTTTGAGTTTCCTGTTTAGTAGCCAAAACCACTGATTTCTGGCCCTTCTGAAAGGCTGGAAGACAGCAATTCCTTTTAAAAGTAGGAGGGCAACTGAAAAACGAATACTTTTGCGGGCAGGTGGCAACAGAGCAAACAGGTGGGTTCATTCCCCTTGGTGACAGGCACAAGTCAAGTTGTTGTCCTTCAATCTTAGTTGTGGAGGGCGCAAGCTCAGTTCCAAATCCAGTCACAGCTTTCAATCTAGTTACATGGGGCACAGCCCACCATCACATGCTGGGAGTCGAACCGGCAACCTTGTTTTTAAGAGTGTGCGCTCTCACCAGCTGAGCAGCTGCTCAGCTCAAGGTGCCATGTTCAATCTTAGTTGGGGGCGGGTGAAGGCCACCATCCCATGCGGGAGTCAAACCGGCAACCTTGTACAGCTGAGCCAGCTCAGCGGCAGCTCAGCTTGGGGGCAGCTCACTGGTCCATGTGGGAATCGAACAGGCGACCCTGTTGCTCAGAGCTCATGCTCTAACCAACTGCACCACCCGGCTGGCCCCCGAGACCTGTTCCCTTGAAAGACATAGGCATGAAGTCCTCCTGGCACGAAGCAGAGCCTCTCAAACACAGGCCCCCTTCCTCTCGCTGGGAAGGTCAACCATTATCAACAGAGCATGTGCCTCAGGAGGTGCACGGAGAGATGAGGGAAGCAGATGTCCACCTGCCTACACAGCTGTAATATGATAAGAGGACCTAGTCTCGGCACCAGAAATTCAGGATCAGATTCTGGTTTTACAACTTCAACTTACCAGCTACTTGACCTTGGGAGAATTTCTGGGCCCCTCTCAGCTTCCACATCTTTTCTATCTGTAGATGGAAACCATGCCTGTATCTCACAGGGTTGTTGAGAATAATAAGCAAAACAAGGCAAATGAAGTGCAGACTTAACAGGTCAGGTCCCTATCTTTCCTCTTTGGCCTGTTCGGGAGCCTGGAGAAGAAAGATGAATGAACAGGCTGATTCTCATCTACTTGGTTCTTCAACATTCTTTTCTTCGGTTACGCTATTTTCCCCTTCCTCTACTATTACGACAAAAGGCAGGTCTTCCACTCTTTGCAACTCGGTGTCCCATAAAAATGGAGGAAGAGGACTGAAGTTCCCCATGATCCTTTCCACTTATAATATCCTGTGAATCCTTTAAAAGTACATGGTGCTTGTTTCTACAATCTACAATCCACAGACACAGTTTTAATCACACGGGCTTCAAAAAGGCAGACTGCCAGAGTTTGAATTCTGGTCTTGCCATATACTAGCCATGTTACGAACGTGAGTAAGCCAATTAACTTCTCTAAGGCTCAATTTCCTAATCTGCAAAATGGGCACAATAGAATAGTATTCACACCCACAACAGATTTGTATATGAAATAGATGAGATAATGTGTATAAAACAAAGTGCTTCTTAAAGTTCAAGGCATTATATACATGTTGTTGTTGTTAGAACTTGTTTTATTATATATAGCTATAATATACCTTGTTGGTACAAACATAAAGTTGAGGTTTTTTTAATTGACATGTAAGTCACATGACCATAAGTCACCCTTTTATTTTTTTCTCCAAAGAGAGATAAAACTATAATAAGTCACCCTTTTAAAGTACACAACTCAGTGGCTCTTGGTATATTCACAAGGTTGTGCAACCATCACCACTATTTATTTCTAGAACACTTTCACACCCCCCAAAAGAAATCTCACATCATTACCAGTCACTTTCCATTTCCTCGGCCCCTAACTCCCGGCAACCACAAATCTACTTTCTGTCTGTATAGATATGCTCAAGGCACTATATACTATACTACATATCATCTTAGTGCAAGGCAGCAGAAGAATTAGTTAGAGAGCTACAAAGGAGGATTAGTCAAACCCCTGCCCTTGGGGTGTCAGCTAAACACCCCCACCTCAACAGAACTGACAGGCCGGGGAGGGTCAGGCCAGTCCTTTTTCCTTTCTCATTCTGTTCTCCATCCATGGTTAGACCTGGTGGAGTTTCCTAATTAGGGTTGAAGTAAGCCAC